GGACTAAACTTTTAAAACTGTGACTAAAAGTTTGTCTTTATAAGTTGATTATTTCAGGTATCTGTGAGTAAAAATTTTGTCTTTCTATGTTACCTCAGATATCTACTACAGTAATGGAAATCTGACTAATACAAGGAGTTTTCTGAACAGAGACCTGAAGCATATGAGGCAGCAATCAAGTGAACATTTAGGGAAGAGCCTTTCAAGCAGAGGGAACAGCAAATAAAGGACCTCCATGCTGGGATAGTCTGGTAAATTTGAGAAAAAGTAAGGAGATTAGTGAAACTGGTGCTCAGTGATTTATGAGTTGAATTTAAGAGGTTGGCAGGAATTAACTCATACAGGAACTTTTTTGCCATAGTAAGATTTTGGATTTTATTCTGTGACAGAAATCACTGGACACCTTTGATGAGGAATTATATTCCAATTATATTTTTGAAGAATCACTCTGGCTCCTGTATAGAGAATGGACTCCAGGCAAACAGCAGTGGATACAAGAAGACCAAGAAAAGACCATTGCAATAATGCAATAAGCTCTCAAAATGACGGGGGCTTAGAATATGAAGAGGGTGCTTGGAAGTAGCTAAATATCAATAAATTCATGACTAATTTGAAAGTAGGTACGATATAACTTCTAACATGTTATGAGTTGTGAAAAATCTTTTTTTATTTCATAGTTTTGGGAGAATGGAGGTGTTATTTACTGAAATGTGAAAGACCAAATTAAAAATACATAAAAAGAAGAGGAACTAAAAAGAGTATCAGTAAAGATATTAATTAGAAGTCCATGTGGATAAAAGAGAAACGCTGGATATATTAGTATACATTCTGGGAAGAGGTGAAGAATAGATCTTAACATTTTGGCATTATCAGGGGATACAATATATTTAAGCTATGGAAACTGATTGAGATCCTTATAGGAATATGCTGAAATAGAAGGTGGGCTTGAGATCTGAGCTCTGAAGTTCTCTGATATTTATATATCATGATGATAATAATGCAAAAAAAAGTCATAGGAGGTTAGTATCCCAGAGGCAGATGAATTCAGTGCTTAAAGGAGGAGGATGTGATCTGTCACCTGCTACAGAGGAGTTGAATGATATGAGGGATGAACTGACCATTGGCATCTGCAACATAGAGTCCATTAGAAAAATAGGTTGAGTAGAGACTTACCAATTCACCTCTTTCAGTGGGGTAGGTTCAAGAAAAAAAAATGACAGGAGAAAAAGTGGGAATGGAAAAGGCAATTAAAATATTTTGGTGAGAATTAAATAAGAAAATATAATAAAACATCTAACTCAATATTGGCTATTATAAAGTACAAATAAATAGGTGCCATCAATTTCATCACTTATGTAGACATTCTCTATCATTCAAATATTAATTGTATATAAAATAAAAAAGAAATGTGTATGTTGAATAATTTTATAAAAATAATTCATGTGTAATTATTTTATTCTGACAATATTCTTTCAAGAAAAAAATATAGACCTGTAAGCTTTTCCCCATTTTATAGTTGACAAAGTTTAGGCTCAGTTTATAACTTACCCAAATTCACATATAAAGCTAGAAATAAAACCAATATCTAATGATACTATGTTAGTCAACTTCATGCTACTACAACAACTATCTGGAACATTCAACTTATAAAGAGAAAAGGTTTATTAGCTCATAGTTTGATACTTCAAATCCAAAAATCAGACAGACTACTGATTTGAGCATTTGTTTATTGAGTGAGGACAGCAGATAGCAATAGCAAGAGTATATGTTGGAGAAAGTGGTCCCATCATAAAATGGGAAGCAGAGAATATGAAGGGTCAGGCAAAGGCTCGCAATCTCTCTCAAGAGCATGCAATGAGTTACTTCAGTGAGTACCACTAGGCCACAACTTTTCAAATTCTGCAGCATTTGCCTATTCTGCCAGCCTGGGGACCAGCTCTTTACAAGTAGACCTTTGGGGGATATATCCAAATTATAGCAAATATCTCACCCTTTTGATTTTTTGTTTTATTTTATTTTATTTAGCAATGAATAACAGAAATTCAGCTATATCACCAAAGAGAAAAATAAAACAATATCAGTGAGAATTAGACAATGCAAATATCTGACTTGAAAAACGTATACTCAAAAGATGTTTTTAATTCATAAATTACTTACACATACACTATGAACTATCTTGTACAATCTTTTTGTAGATATGGTTCACAGCTGAAGTGAGAAAATATTCTGCTTTAAGAAGAGATTTTAAAGTTTTCTTCATTAAAAACATGTAAAGGAAGATAGAAAAAATGTAAAATATTTCAGCAGACATTTAATCATGCAAGAAGTATTTTATTGTACAACTACTCATGCCAAATACTGGATTAGGCACTAGGGACAAAAAAGGAAATAGAATAATCGTGAATTTTACTCCCTGGACATTTGTAGTCTAGTAATAAAACAGACATAATATTAATCAAATTTGAAAATATTTACTTGTTAACTTGTAAGTATAGGGAAGAAAGGAATAGGGTAAGATAGGAATGAAAAACATAAACGTCACCTAGTATAACTGTGGCCCATCAGTATGAAAGAGATAAATTTTTGTTTTGCGTGGATCCTTTCCACAAACCAGGTACAATCTTTTCCAGCAGCTTGGAATGAAGAGACTCTCAAAAGAGACATAAATTCCGTAAGGCACTTTGATAACAGCTATGAAAATGGAATCTGTTTGATTTGGTAAGGAATTCATCTTTCTTGTTTCCAGACTTGTGAAAACCAGAAACAGTATACTTCCTTTTCCCCTCCTTGTAGGAGACTTACAGAGGCCAAGGTGAAACATTAAGAGAAATAAGCACTAAACAGTTCTAAAACATTCCAAGATGTGTTAGCTGCCCCAAGACCCCAAGTAATCAATATAGAACCCTGCTTAGTTTTTCCTCAGGGCCACAATTTCCCATCTATGAGACACTAGCTTTCCTTTGATGCTGCAATCAATCTAAGTCTCAGTTATTTTCTAAGAAGCATACATTTCCCTGTTAATGATAGAATGGCTAGAATGGATTATGGCAAACTTCAAATCAGCTACTTCAAACTCCAGTTGCCTTTGCTAGTGATTGCCCAGACCTTGGAGCCCCAAACTGCTTGTTACTTATTCCCACCCAGCATCACCTCATCTTCTCTCTCCTTGCTAGTCTTCACAATGTCCAGTGGAACTGGAACCTGATTAATTCTTACATCTTCAAACTCTCCTTAAACAATTGAACCTCTGCCTTGAGAAGAACTCAGAGCTTCTAACTTGAGGTCTGCAAACTATATTGCAAAGGGTCAGTGAAGTGCTTAAAAGATTTAAGTTTTTTCACTATTTTCAACTATGTCTCAGTAAAATAAAAAGTGTTGCTGTATTACAAGGCTAATATCTTGCTCTAAATGGTCTAGACGATCTACTGTACGCAATCTATATATACCATCAAGTAACACGCAAGCATGTATTACAACGCTATGTTAAAATGTCTACAGTTAAGTTCCTATTGACAAAAATTGCGTTAAATGTCTCTTCCTAATCATGAAAGAGATCAGTAGTAGTTTAAGTGTAGATTTTAAGTTGCACAGAGTCTCAAAGATTATAGGGGTGCTTTTAAGTCCTTTGGTTTTGTTTTTATCTTTGAAATCGGACGTAGAAGCCACAGTGTTTCTTGTGTTAAACTTTTATATGAATGAAATCAGGAAGCCAACAAATATAACAGTTTGACTTGAATTTGTGGCCCTTTACTTTTATAAGAACAGCTAATTTGGTAATATTAGAACACCATTGAGAGTTTGCCAAGCCAATAATCCAGATTTATCTTTGATTCTTCAGGGTCCCTCACCCTTCACCCCACAACTACATTGGACTGAGCCCCTTAAATAACTCTAAATGACTCTCCACTTTGCTCCATACACTCTACACTCTTGTCCAAACCAGTGATATTTATTATCTGTTTTTTAACAGTTACTACAATTTTCTCTATTCCTCTGGAATTATTCCTCACTACCTTCAATTCTGTAGACAGGTAGGTTCCCAAGGAAACTAGCAGATCTCTCTAAGAAGATGACATTTGAGCAGAGATCTGAAGGAAGTTGTGAGTGATCGATACAGATGTCTATCAGAAAATGTTCCAGGCAAAGGGAACAAGTGAAAGAGATGTGAATCTGGAGTATGCTTGATATTTTTGCTAGCTAGAAATGAGCTCCATGTGTCTATCTGAATCATTGCTAACTGTATCACTATATATTGGCATCAAATCTTGTTTTCCACTGAGAAAGTCATTAACTTCATCAGAAACTGAACATGACTGAGACCTGGTTTTTTTCTGAGTTTTCATCAAGAAATGAAAGCAGAATGTGAAATTCTTTTACTACTATATGAGAATTTTCTTTTTTTCTACAAGGAAAATCATGGGGCACCTGATTAACATCTGAGGAGATGGTTTCCAAGAGAGAGAAAGAGAAAGAAAAAACACAGAGAGATAGAACTTGAACAATAGTGTAATTCAGTTTTCCTCTCTATTCTGTTATCATTCTCAGAAAGATGAGCTTATAGGTAGAAAATATGTCAAAAGTTGGCCTCAAAAATTTTTTTTATTTCTATCATTTCAATGATTTTCCCTACTGTTCCAATTCTATCAGCAACATGTAAGGTGGTCCTTGTTCTTTGTTATCACTTAAAATGTTACCTGATTTCCTAAATGAAAACATTGCAGTCTAATAACAACAACTCTCATCTTTCCAATTCTCTCACTCACTTACCTGTCCAATACTCATAGCTGCAAAATAACTCAATGGTTAGAACAAATACTCTGGATTCAGCTGCCCTGTCTAGTAGCAATTCTGCCCCATTCAAGATATGCAAACATGAGCATCTTAATCACACTAAGCATCTAAGTTGTTATTGGAAGGATAAAATAATACATTACATTTAGCAAGACATATAGAGGAAACAAATAATAAATCATAGTCCTTTTATTATTAATTGACCTCACCAAGACCCCTAGTCGCATCCTTTACTTTCTTCTCTATTGACCCAGACAATGTAGTCTTTCACGTCGGTCACTCCTTCTGCAAACGTCTCCATCTCTCACCCAGGTGCACATCCAACGAAATCTCCCTTTAGACTCCAGCCCTAGATTTAAGAACAAAGCCCAGCACTTGGTATGTTGTCCTTGAGGGCAGTATGGAAGTTCAGCAAATAATGTGTGAACGAATGAATGCTACCAGAAACCCAAAGCCACTGGGATGCCCGACTTCTCATGAATTATCCATTTTCCTCTCACTCCTGTTGTCCTACTCTACTGGATCTTTTGAATCACTGGTGAACCATATGTGAGTCTCTCTCCTGCCCAGGAGAAAACAAAATAATATCTCAAACCCAAATCTAACTTTCCTCCGATATTTTCTCCAGTACTGCCCTTTCTCTCCTCCTTTTCCATCAAAAGCCCTTGAACATGTCATCTATCTTCACAGTCTCTACTTGCTCACATGCCCCAGATTCCACAACATTATTTGCACCCTCAGCACATAAAAGGAACCACTGTTGTCAGTATTATTTGTCGTTATAGAAACTTGGCATTTTGGCAGCAATTGACTTGTTGACCTCTAAATAGTTTTCTTAAAAGCTTTTTTCATTTTTTTAAATAACAGTGCTATTGAAATGTAATTTAAATACCATAGAGTTTACCTTTTGAAAGTGTACAATTCACATAGGTAGGCATAAATCGCCACTATCTAACTCCAGATCATTTTATCACTCCAGAAGAAAAACTTCACTGCATTAGCAGACATTTACTGTTCTTTCCTCCTGTGGCAAAGATTAACTAACGAGGTATCTGCATGGATTTGTCTATTCTGGATATTTTATGTCAATGAAATTATATAATATGTGGCCTTTCATATTTATCCTTAAATTCAAATTTTGAAGGCTCATACATCTCACAGCATGTACCAAAATTTCATTCCTTTTCGTAGCTGAGTGATATTCCACTGCATTGGTATATTACTTATTGGTAACCTATTCATCAGTTGATGAATATTTGAGTTATTTCTACTTTTTTTGCTATTATGAAGAACACTGTTATGAACATTTGTGTACAAGTTTTTGTATGAGTATGTTTTCAATCCCCTTTGTATATACAATGGTAGATTGATTCATGAATACTTTTGTTTCCAAACAATTTGGTTCACAAACAGAAGCACTTGGCAAAATTTTGTTTTTGTTTACAAACTCTGCACTGGGTGACAAACATAATGGCGACCATCTTTCCCACACAAACACAAACATGGCGATCTTTTCCAAAGTTCATGAACCAAGATAGCACTGTATACAAAGGACTTTGATTGTTGAATGTTGTGGTCACTCATGCTTAACTTTTTGAGGCATTGCCAAACAGTTTTTCAGAGTGACTATACTAGCAATGTCAAATCTTTTTTCCACTGCAAAGGTTCTAATTTCTCTTCATGCTTGCCAATATTTGCCATCTTCTTATTTATACCAATTCTGGTGAGTGTGAAGTGGTATTCCTTTGTGATCTGTTTCAGTATTTCCCTAATAACTAATGATGCTGAGCAGTATTTCATGTGTTTATTAGCCATTTGTATATCCTTTCTGGAGATATGTCTATTCTTCTCTTGACTTTTGAGCTCATACACTATCTCCTATGTGGTCTATTTTTCTTTTGTCTTTGATATTTCTCATTTTTTTTCTCAGTCCTATGCCTTAATGATTTTATCCACTACCAGGAATTTGGCAAAACTTAAAAGTCAGTTATTTATAAATCTCCACCTCCGGTTCAGATCCTTTTCCTAAAATCCTGATTTAGCTATTGAGCTATCTGTTAAACACAATTTAACCTTAGTTGGTTATTTTCCACCTGAACTACACTTGAATTGTTGTAGTTTCACCTGAACTACGACCATTCCTCCCAAAATGAATGATCTAGCCATTCAGCAAATTACCCAAGCCCATATGCTAGCTGTCCCGCTTTTCTATTTTAGATCATTTAGGTTATTTTAGATCATTTTAGGTCATTTAGGTCATTTTAGATTCCCTAGATCCCATGTCCAGTTTTTTCAACTTCATAATATTTTTTCATAAGTAGGTTTTTTCACCCTTTCTTCATTATCAATGTCTTAAATCAGCTGTGTTCATCAGTTGCCTGACCCACAGTGCTAGCAAAGGCCCCTGCTCTATCCCCAGCTGTCTTCCTAACACCACTGTTTTCCTAACACTCTCTCCTGCCAACAGGAACACAGGCTGCCATGCTTAACATTTCCCAATCTACCCTCTGTCTGCTTTTTTCATACAGAATTTCCAAGCAGAATCATTTTCCAGGTTAGAGGGCAGAAGTGCAGATGTAAAGTCACAGCCATGGAGTTCTTCTGACAGCACTACATAGGAGCAATTTGGTTATACCGCAGCAAGTATGTGGAGGTCCCTCTGGAATGGTTTTCAATCTTGACTTTGCACAAGTAACACCCAGAGTTTGTTGTTGTTTTGCTTTTAATATTATGGTTGGGCCTTGTTCCAGATCAATTAAATACAATCTCTGGGGTGCTGACCCAGTTTTGGTACTTTTGTAAAGCATTCCAGGTGATTCTAATATATAGTCAGGATTTGGAAACTTTACCCTGCTGTCTGGCTGTTTCTAACTTCCTGGTTCTAAAACATAAGCTGTGGTAACAGCAGCAGTCCCTGATCTGGCAGCTTTCTCAAGTGTAAGCAATGCAATGTGGTTCTTGAGGAGAAAGTGGTGGCAGCAGATGCAGCAGCTCCTTGGCCAGCCACAGTGGCAATGTGTGCTGTGCACTTGCTTCTGAAAACAGCCTAGAACCAGCTTTTCTTGCCCTTCCAAAATGTCTGTAAGCTGCTTAATGCCCCAATAACTCCCTTTCTGCTGAACCTGGCCAGAGTATTCTGTTGTCTGCTACCAAACACTGACCAATAAAGATATCTAAATTTCACATTTACTGTTCACCATTGTCTTTGTATTAAGTATAAGGTGGTTTTAAGTGGCTTATTTACAAGGTCTTATGTGATCTATACCTGCCTTTATGAAAAGTATGTTAAAAGCTCTATTAAAAGTATTTCAGAAATGTATACCTTCACTGAGAAACTATAAGAATTTATTGAAAGGAAAGATATTAATATATGAGTAAAACTGTTGTATAAGAATACACATCACTGAATTGTGCATTAGTATTTTTTTTAAAATGTAAACAACCTTTATATCCATTGATAGAGGACTATTAATAAATGTTATGGTATACTCATAGAGCAAAATACTTTCCAATAATTAAAGAATCTCCAGGTTGTAGTCTTGTGAATAATTGTCTTTCTTATACTTTAATCTCATTTCTCATTTTTTTCAAAGAGCTTGTTTTATGTCTATCAAAAAATATATGAACACTTTCAATTTAGGAGGACTAACTTGAAACAGAATGGACAGAGCAAACCAAATTAGCAGTCTCCCTTAGAGAACAATGTCTTAAGATTGCTCTTAACCTTTCCTAGGTGACCAAGTATCATGGGTCCTCTACCTCTGACAGTTTCCTTCTGTACAAGCTACATTGGCTACTGGAAAAGAATATCTGATACCCACAACTTAAAAAGAAAGAAGTTTATTTATCTCACAGTTTCAGAGCTTTAAACCCATGGACAGTGGCTCCAAAGCAGAAACAAGATGGCAGAAGAGCATGGTAGGCCAAAGCCTCTCATGGCAGCCAAGAAGTAAAGCCTAAGGGAAGAGAGTCAACAGGAGATACACCCTCCAAAGACACACCTTCCAGGGACCCACTCCCACATGGTCTTCACCTCCGTGTTAATCCACTGTGAGCACCAGAGGATGACGACCATAGCAGCCCCATGATCCCATCAGCTCTTGGGGAGTCTCTTGACCCAGTCAAGGTAATAATTAAACTTGACTGTCACACAGGTACTTTATGTGTATCCATAGGAGTTTTCTTAATAAACTATAGGTGAGCTACATGTTGGAACAAATTATAGCAACTAAAAATAAAATATATAGAGAATGGGAACATTTAAAAATAGCTGCCTGGAGACTCCGTTACGCACTTCTGGAGCTACACTTTCTCCCCACACTGTGACTGGACTGTGGGGGGCGGAGGGGAGTCGGTTAGTGGGCTTTAGCGCCTTTTCTGATTGCGTTAGATTTGAAGCACTTTGAAGGACCGGGCCCAGCGAAGAGGACATTGTGGTAGCACAGATTGAAGTATTGAAGCCATGGGAATAAAGGTTCAGCGTCCTTGATGTTTTTTTGATATTGCCATTAACAATCAACCTGCTGAGAGAGTGGTCTTTGAATTATTTTCTGATGTGTGCCTCAAAACAAGCGAGAACTTTCGTTGTCTTTGTACAGGATAAAAGGGAACAGGGAAATCAACTCAGAAACCATTACATTATAAGAGTTGTCTTTTTCACAGAGTTGTTAAGGATTTTATGGTTCAGGGTGGTGACTTCAGTGAAGGAAATGGAAGAGGAAGAGAATCTATTTATGGAGGATTTTTTGAAGATAAGAGTTTCGCTGTTAAACACAACAAAGAATTTCTTTTGTCAATGGCCAACAGAGGAAAAGATACAAATGGTTCACAGTTCTTCATATGGAGTTTCTGGCTTTTGCCTGAGCTGGCCTTGAACTCAAGATTTCCCTAAGCCTCCGGAACAGCTGGGATTACAGGCATGCACCACTGCGCTAAGCTTTTTTACTTTCAATTTCACTCCTAAACATTCCCTTAATACTACACTACCTTTTTGTTTAAGGGCCAGTTTGTAATTTTTGCACCTTTTCCCCCTCTCCTAGTGTTCAAAATGTCTTGGTTTCAGTTTATATTGATTTCTCTTCAAATTAAATTACAGCCATTTTTATACTATACCAGTTTTTCTGTAATTGTTTTGTAATTTGCATAGACTTGTACTCTAGTCATGTACTCTTATAATGTATTCTAAAAGTTCAGCCCAATTGAAAGTAAAATAAATTGTATATGTAAGGGAGAAAAACTAGTAGGCCTAATCCTTCACTCAGCATAAGTTGGTTATACATCTGTTTTATGTAATTTGCTACAAACTCCTCATTTAACAACCGACTTTGTTTCTACAACTGTGTTGTTGGC